CAAACATTGGAAATAGATTCATCGCGAGTCTTATTTCCCATATCACCATATATTATAGTAGTATGCACTCACCTTGGCCTCACTTAGTCAAAGCAACACTTATAGCTCTTATCTCTCTCTTGCTCAAACTTATATCTTCGATTCGTCCAGAATTGACTTTCGTTCGATATCTACACAATATACGATCGGTATGAATATCAAAATTCATATCATTATAAATAATTCCCAATAACATAAACTGGATGAAGCATTTAATTCCAAATTTCAATCTGAATAGTATCAGTACCCTAACTCCAATACTGATACTTCCTTATAGTGGTATCGATACTATACTTTAGAATCGATACCCTTTTTACATTCTAGAATTCGTCCTTAAAAATGGTACCGGTACTTAAACATTGGTATCGATACCCCTGGTACCGATGCCCCTGGTACTGATGCTACTACTTTGGTATCGATACTCTTTAAAGAATTCATCCACTTTTACCTTATGATATTGATATTGTTCATCCAGTATCGATACCCAGACCCAATTATCATCTATTTTTGCTTTGAAGTATCGGTACTGTTCTTCCAGTACCGATACCCCTTGCTCAGGACTTACTCATTTTAACCCGAAAATCAACCAAAACTCAATTAACTTCCTTACTTTACCCTTCTTTAAAGCCTTTAAACTCAACTACACCAATTCAGATCAATTTATCTCACTTTAACTCATCTTAACATCCAATATCTAACTAGAACACTTAAAACTCAAAATCATACCAAATACTGATTATGTATCAAATCCATATCTAACACTTTAGATTTCTTATTCCAGCTTATGACATGTCAAATATGACTTCAAAATCCATTTAATAACCTTTTCTTTACAATTAACTTAAATACCCTTTTTATTGAATCACCCATAACTTGTAAATCTTTTAGTTTTTACTTTTCTTTAAGCTTCCTTAAGCTTTCCTAACATCCCAAGAATCAAAACCACTTAAAAACTTAAAAGAATTAACCAACTGAAAGCATTATTACCTTAGCTATGGAGCTCACGGTGGAAGGAGGAAGAAAAGATGAAGAAAGATTATAGGTTCTCTGATTTTTCTTTCTTTCTCATATACTCCACGTGCTTATATTATACCCAAAAATGAATTTTAAATTCATTTCCTTTGTCAAATGACCATTATACCCTTCCATCCTTCATCTTTATCAATCACTCCTACACAAATAATTTTCAATTAAATCTCTGAACTTTTAATTTATCAAAATTGACCATAAAATTTCAAAATCTTATATTTTGGTCATAATTCAATTTTTGGGGATGTTACATGTATGACATATTTGTTAAAGTATTTACGGTTTGTGGTATGTCATTATGCTCCCACTATGGGTTGACTCCTCAAGTTGATAAGTTGACAACCCAACTCAAGTAATGTGTAATGATTTCACCTCATTAATGACAAATTCACCTCATGGTACCATTTCGTCATGTTCAGTATGGAGACATTCATCAACAACTAGTTACGATCTCTACCGAGGTGGCTCCACGAACAATCCATATGGCAACATCCCTTCTAGTTCAATGGGAAGACATTCATCTGCCAATTTATTTGACATAAATATGGAGATGCATTCGACACAACAATCTGTTCAATAACCATATGATATTATGCCTTCAAGTTCTAGGGGAGGCATTCATTTGCCAACTTCTTCGACCTCAATATGGAGATGCCTTTGACACAACAGTTAATTCAAAACGCATATGACACGATGCCTTCAAGTTTAAGGGGAATGCATTCATCTGCGAACTTGTTCGACCTAAACATCAGAATCATAGAGGAATCCTCATCTTTATCAGAAGAACCTCTTTGTGAGCCAAGTGTCGATGGTGTTGAGATTGGATTATTCCCGAATCACTACAATTCAACATGGATTTTAATGACGATGTAGATGAAGTTTCCATCAATACGATACAAATTGAACCTCTAGCTCATATGTATGAAGCCGACTATAACGCAATGTATGGGTCATAATCTCTGGATATGCCTAATGTTGGTGACTACAAATTTAACACATCATCCAATAATGGTGAGTTATATATCGACATGAAGTTCTCATCCAAAGATGAAGCAATGATTGCAATTAAGAATTACAATATTAATAATTTAATTCACTCCAGAGTATATCGATCCACCACCGAAAAGTATGTCTGTCATTATGTTCAACATCATAACGGATGTAACTAGATGGTTCGTGTATCAAAGAGAAAGATAAAGAACAACATATGGTAACTAACAAGATACAATGGTCTTCATACATGTTGTGCTAGAGGGATCAACTAGGACCATCCCAGCTTGACTCCAACATTATTTGCCAAGCCAACATACACATGGTCAAAGCAAGCTCTCACATACCAATTGCAGTGCTGATTTCTATTCGTACACCGTCTCCTACAGAAAAGCATGGAAGGTAAAATAAAATGCCATTAAAAATCTACACAGCGAGTGAGATTCATCTTACAATGAAATACCCAATTGGTTTAATGTGGTGCAAATACTAAACCCTGGGACAATAGTTGAGTTTAAAACTCACCATGCATACTAAAATGATCGAGTGTTTCGAGATCGATGCAAATTTTAGTCTTTTTTGGACTTACCCACAGTGCATTAATGTTATGAAATACTGTAAACTCGTGGTCCAAATTGATGGGACATTCTTGAATGGAAAATACAAGCATGTTTTATTACTGATAGTTGTCCAAGATGGTAATCACAACATTTTTCCCATTGCTTTTTCCCTTGTAGAAGGAGAAGATATAGATTCTTGGGCTTTTTTTCCTCAAAAACCTACGCTTACATGTTGTCACGAGGGATAACATATGCATCATTTAGGACCGCAAAGCTGGGATCAAAGCAACAATAGACTATTTGGCTCCAATGTGGAAACCACATACGTCTAATATCGGTAATGTATCTGAAATATTGTTGCAAACTACCATGGAAAATTTAGGAATAATGATGAGCGTCAATTACTTATATGCATGGGTATATCATTTTTTTCAAATTCATTTCTTAATCATTTTCATTTTTTTTTATTTCAACCTCACACTAATTACTACCATATGATGCTTAGGTTAAGAACTATTACCTCAAAGGTGTGGGTTCATGCTTCAAAAGTTGTAAGGAAAAAATGAACAAGGATACAATTATATCAACTCCATCAATAAAAAATATGGACAAATGCATATGATGGTGGATATTGATATGAACATATGATAAATAACTTGGCTGAGGCTACCAATTCAACCTTAAAGGGGGCGCATCATTTACCAGTAACTACTATGGTTAAAACGACGTATTTTCGTTTGGGTCAACTTTTTGCCAAGCTCAGGGGACAAGCACTAACTTGAATGCAAAACGGTCATGTTTACCACCCAAGATTAGTAGTAGATCTACAAAAAAAAATGTACAGTATAAAATGGAATATTGGTAACAAACTTTTCTCAAACCCATGAATTATTTTGTGTAACAGAAATGCCACGACCTCTTCAAGGGATTGAATCTAACTCTTTCAGAGTCAATCTACAATAAAGGTGGTGTGACTGTAGGTTTTTTCAAGCTTTGAAGTATCCATGCTCCCATGTCATAGCAACTTGCTCACATTCCTGTCAAGACTATAAACGCTATATGAATCTCGTATACCAACTTTTAGAAGTATTAAAAGTAGATGAATTTGAGTTCTCCCTATAGGTAATGAGAAAGGTCCAAATGGGATTCAGACTTGGCTTACAATTATACTAAATTCGTTCTTATTAAGGGAGTCAGGTCGTCCAAAATCCACTCGAATTCATTGTGATATGAATATTCGAGAGACGTCAAATGAAAACAAAAAATGTGGACATTGTAGAAACCTATGCCACAATAGGAAAAAAATGTCCATCTCTTTTATCATCACTTAACCATTGAACATCACTCATGCAAATTGTAGTTTCTTAAATCTTATTTCATTTTCTTTTACTTTCAATTAATGTGATTTGATCTTGTTTCTTTCAAAACATAGTTTTCTTATATATATATTAGGATCCACTTACACAATGTAAATTTTTTTAGTTTTACACAGATTTAGGACCGTTGGATGAAAAATAAATGGCTCAGATTGACACCATGTTTTTTCCCCAAGTGAGTATCTTCACATATCCTACTATTAATCTGAGTCATCTGTTTCACTCATCCAACATTCCTAAATCTGTGTAAAACTAAAAAAATTTACAATATGTAACTTGATCCTGTCTATATATATATATATAATTTAATGTTTAAGATTCATTATTTTTTATTTAAGGTTTATTTCTCACAATCAAAATTTTAATTTTTATCTAAACCATTAAAAAACCTAGTATAATTTAAAAAAAAAACCCTAAATCACTTTAAATACCTTAAACCATTAAAAAGGCCTAAAACCCTAAACTATTCTAACATAAAAAATACCATAACCTTATACCACTTTAAACCCAAAAAGACCCTAAACTAGAAACCTTAAATCATAAGTGGATTTAAAATAGGTGTGCCTAGGAAAGCGCATTCATAGGCGCAGTTCTTGCATCCACCGTTGCACCAGCTTAGACGAAACCCGGGGAAGGTGCGCCCCTTGCAATGCGTCTTCCCTCCACGAGTGCAAAGTGTGTTTCTTGCAACACGCCTTATTATCTATCTATCAGTAAAGGTGTTAGATCGATAAATTTTGGAGATTGGGTGCCTAATCGGTATTATTATAAAATAAATGTGATTTTTGGATTAATAAACCAATATTTTCTTCTAAACTTTTATTAATATACTCAAACTTATATTAACTTTAAAATCATTATAATTTATTGTTTGTAATAAGAAATTCAATGAAAAACATTAACTAAATAAAAAATTGTATAATTTTTTAAAATAAAATAGTAAGAGATTTCATTATTTTACTTTGAAATTAAAATTAATTATTATATTTACATATAATCCAAACGGTGCGTCTCGCGTAATAAAGGCGTGTCTGCACCTTGCGCCTAGGCTCCCAAGGACATTTATGTCTCGATGTGCCTTGCGCCCTTAAAATCCAAGAAAGAGAAAGATAATCCAACTTCTTGTCTTGCATTGGATGAAGAAACTCCTATACAAGTACGGAGAAATACATAAAAAAGATCACATGGTCCTATAATCTCCTTGCTTCAAAATATTTCTGAAACATATCTTGCTTCAGCTACCTCATCTCTCAATGCCCCTGTGAATTTCACATTATGGAGGTTCAACTTGGTATTCAATCTTTATACAACATTACCAATATGGCAAGTATCCATATAATGAAGAAACAGTCTGTCAAGACACAAAAACGCACCCTTGACCAAACTTGAGAAAAATTTTAGTTGCCACATGTGGTAAATGTCATATTTGAAAAGTTAGTCCATGCTTTAGAAGCATATAGTTTGTTAATGAAAGTTGCCCGGAACTACGAGACTCAAAGAGCATCATTACAGGGATGAAAATTTTGATAATATCTCATGCTTTAGAAGCATTCTCATTTTATCCTCCACATTCCTGTATGACTTTGTCATGCCCTACAATGGACCATAGGTCTACAACCAAAACTCAGATGAGCATCATCAGGGTGGTGCTGGCTACTAAACTAATTTGATAAGCACGTTCACCATACGTGGTACATAAAAATTAAACTAGAACCCAGATTTTCAACATCAGCAAATTGAAAGCCACCTCAAAGAAAAGGAATATAATGATTAATATATTTGTTAAAAAAAAAGGGAAAAAGAATACTTACAATTCTCAATCCAAATCTTCTTGCCTGGTCTCCGCATTATCACCTGATCCTGAACCCGAGCCTCGGCCCCCGAACGGCCAAGGAATCGATATCCTATAACTCCTTTCCACCGTCTGATTATCACCAGACCTCTGGCCATTATCACCATCGTTACCACCAGAAGTACCATGTGCCCCACGAACCCTCCTCTCATAAGCAGGATCATCTGTAGGCAACTCGTGACGACACACAGGGAACGAATTATGCATTTCGAGCCACGGCAATATACAATCTTTGTGATAAAGATGGTTACAGGGCATTTGCTTCGCATCAGTCCCTTCCTCGAACTCATCCATACAAACCGCGCACTGATTGAACTCCGAATTTATGTCGTTCTTCTCTATCTTCACCGTAGGCAGCGCTTCAATGGCTGATTTAGATGCCGGTGGGGTTCCGTACCGGTTAGGGTCATTTTCGGCCAGCTGTTGAATCAGTTGCTCGAGCCCGGGTCCGATGAAATAATCCCCGAGGTTGGCTGGAAGCCGAAACCCCGGCTCGGAGGGATTATTCTGCATCAAGAACTCGATTTGGGCTCCTCCTGAACGGAGATCGTTGAGATGATTTTGGATGAAGGTAAATGGATCGAAAGAGAATGGGTCACCTCGGCCTGACCGGGTTGACCCGAATAGGTTAAGGCTATGAAGGTCAATAGAAGCGGGGGACGGTGAAGAAGTGGTTGTGGTAGAAGAAGAAGGAAAAAGGAGCGGGCGGAAGGCAGACAACGGATCCGATGTCGATAAAAATGGGTCGGATAATGGGTTAGAGTTCGGATTCGGGTTTTGGAAGGTGGAACCTGGATTAAGGCTATGGTTTTCGTATTCTTCGAGGAATCCCTCGTTGCATACAGGACAATAAGGGTCAGCTGAAGAGGAGATTGTTATGGTGACGGAACGGTTACATTGGTAGCAAAAGAAATGCTTGTTGGTTGCGCCGTCTGTGCTAGCGCCGTCGCCCGACATGTTTCAAGTCTAAGATGGTTTCGACGGGACAACCAAAGAGAACTTATCTTATCAGTACGTAAATTATCGATTTAATTTGTAAAATTTAAGTAAATAGATGAATAGGTGTATATATTTAAATTTAAAGATTGACCTTATCCTAAAAGGGAAGAACCATCAAGTTTGAGCTTAATCATTTCATAAATTTAGTGATAAATGTTCAAGATATCTTTTTTTTTTTTGTTAAAAATCTACTGCGATACATGAATTAGGGTATTTGTTTCTATTAAAAAATTATTTTTTTAACTTTCTAGTTATTCAAGTTAATTTTAATTTTGTGTTGAATTTGAATTTGAATATGTAAAGTTGTATAATTAAAAAACTAAAAAATTAAATTAAGTAATTTGATAATTCTATGATTTGAGTTGATTATTCCTTCCTATTAAGTATATTTTTTTTATTAAATTTGAATCTAATTTTCTTAAAATAATATAAAATAAGTTTAACGGTTACTTTTACCCCTATAGTAAACCTAATTTATCATTTTCGCCCCTATCTTTTTTTTGCATCAATATAGCCCTCGAACTTATTTAGGATATTCATCATAGCCCTCAAAGTTCGTTGACTGTTTTGACTAATAGAACCGTGAGTCTTCTGCGTTTGTGGATTAAGAGATTATGTTAAAATATTTATTAAACACAATGATTAGAACAAATTCCCAAAAATTTATTATTTATTTAAGTGAGATTAAGGGATTAGGTCAAATTAAGGATTAAACAACTTCGAATACTAAATTGATGTAAAAATTAAGTTTACTCCCGAAGCTAAAGTGACCCTTAAACCTATAAAATATCTATATAAATTTAATTTTTTATTTTTTATAATAAGTGTTTATTTCAACAGTTTGATCCCTTAACTGAAAAATAACAGAAAAATACTAATAAATTAAAATTAATTAATTCCAGCACGAGCCACATTACTACATCAAACTGAATTTTATTTGATTGTTAAGAAACCTAGTTTCATTCGAGTAAAATGTACTATCAATAATATGTACTATCAATGATATGTGGGAGAGTTATAGACAGATGTACTATAAATGATTTGTAGGGAGAGTTGTTTTCATCAATATATGATGTGCTTTCTTCTGTACCCTTATACTACATGTCAATCTTTGCTGTGCGGAAATCAATACTATTAAAAATAGACAAAATAAGAAGAATCTTCCTGTGGGGTGGTTGGAATGGAACAAGAAAAATAACTCGGGTGAATTGGGGGATGATCTGTAAACCGAAGAGGCTTGGGGGTGCTGGCGTGTTGAACTTAAATTTGAAGAATAAGTCCCTTCTAGCTAAGTGGATTTGGAGGTACAAATCAGAAAAGAACGTCTCATGGAGAAAGGTTATAGTGGCCAAATATGGAGACTTTGAGAAGGATTTTAATGAGGTTTTAAATTCGAAAAAGCTTCAACTATGTGAAGAAGTATAGAGAGGAACCTGCTTGATTCGAATGTCTATAAGTGGATGAATAAAAAATCTTTTTGCTGGAAACTAGGAGATGAAAAATTCATTCTGTTTAGGGAAGATGTTTGGTGCTCGATTAAACCTTTGTGCTGCCTTTACCCACGGATATACAAGTTATTCTCAAGGAAAGGGGAGCTGGTAGCTTCTCTATTCGATTTTTGGAAGTCTCAAGCGAGTGGATGGCCTGCTTTGTTCGTGCGATTGCTCAGCAAAGTGGGTGGCGAAGTTTAATGTAGACGGTGCCTCGAGTAGATGTTTTGCGGGTGTTGGAGGTGTTTTAAGAACTTCCAATGGTGACTTAAGGGCTTTATTTTCGAGTCCCTTAGTAGATTACGGTCTGGAGTTCGCTGAAATTTATGTTGTATTAGTTGCGCTGAAAGTGTTTTCAGAGACGGGTGGTGTAATAATGCTTCTTTATTAATTGAATCTGACGGTCAGGATGCCCTAAATTGGATAGCCTATCCGCTTTTGCGACTCTGAAAATGGTGGTATATTCTTGAAGAGATAGACAAACTCGTAAAAAATCTTCTATCGATCAAGTTTGTTTATGCCCCTCACACCCGAAATGGGATGACCGATCACTTAGCGAAAAAAGGAGTCAAGAGAAATGAGCTTTTTAAAGCGTGGTGGTAGGCTCGTTGCTGTTCAGATGTGTTTGCTGCTATTTCTCAAACCTCTCTGAGATTTTGCTTGCGTAATTCGTTTGACTAGTTTCCAGGTTTCTTCATCTGTTTATGGCTTATAATTGATGCCATGTATGTTTAATTTTCATGTGCGCTTATGAGTTAGTGTTGTAGCATGATTTGTATCTGCTTGGGGCAGCTGGTGTTAGCTTCACAGCATTGGTGCCAATTTTCTTGGTGCATCGGTGTTTTTGGAGCTTCTATTTTCTATCTCAGTGTTGAGTATTATTTTCCTTCTCCTAAGTTTAAGGAGGCTATTAACTTAGGTTTCTTTTATTAATAAATAAAACTTTTGCCGAACAAAATAAAAATGTTGTGTGGAACACATCCATTTGGTTCATGAATAGTGTTGTCTATATTCTTCACCATCTGATCATTCGTTTTTTTCAAAAAAATTATAAGAATTTATTTTAAATTATTAGTAAAATTATTGTTGTAATATAAATATAGTATTGATTAAAAATGATAAATCATATAAAATAAAATAAATAAACTATTTTATTTTATCATGTTTTAAAATTAAATTTGTTTAGATTGATGTAGTCATAAAATAGACATTGATCTAAAAATTAGCATAATTTTTAAAATTTTATACACTCGAAATAAAAAAAAAACTTGAATTTTATTTTCATTTGAAGAAAAAAATTAATAAAAAACAAAAGTAGCATGTACTAAGTGACATCGATAATAAATAAATTATTGTTATTATTTTATGTCCTGAGTTTAAACATTAAAAATATTAAGTGTATAATTGTTTAATATCAAATAATTAAAGATTTTTTTTCGAAAAATACTACTTGTATTTGTCTTAATTCAATTAGAAAAAAAGGGGAAAGAAAAGTAAAAAAAAATGATGATTGCATTGTAAAAGAGAAGTAAAAAAAATGAAGTGGTAAAACTTTCTTTTCATAGGGGTAAATTTGTAAAAAGAATGATTTAATCGTTTACTCTAAATTTATTGGTTAAAAATAATATTTTTTTTATATTATCGATATAATTGATTTAAACATGTCGTCTATGATATTACTAATTCAAATAATTGGAAAATTTCAGATCATACAGTTATCACTGTTCATAATGCTAAAATTAGAAGATTAATATTTAAGGTTTTCTGAAATTATATTGTATATTGGTTGAAATATTTGTTTTTTTTTTGTGTGTAAAAATGATCTAGTAAAATAATTAATCTAATGCTTCTTGTTAATAAGTTAATAACTAAACGACGAAAATAAAAAGTCTTGTATTTGTATTGTATTTCACATGCATTGACAAATGTCACGTTAAGTTAATAAAATATAATAATAATCCTTATTATAATTACTTTTTTATATAAAAATCATATATTTCTCATTTGTAGAGTTTTAAGATATATGAAGTATGCACAAATTAAATTATCTTAATAATTAAAGGAATAATTATTATTTTTAGAGGTCACAAGTTCAAGTACAAGATACTGAGTATTTAAAAGATATTGAGAACATATATATATCAAATAAGTCACCTTTCATTGAATATCTTGAATATGTTTAGTATGTTTTTAGCCTAAATTACACGAATAGCCTCTTTTGTTTTTTTGGTTTGTAATACTCTAATTTTATCTTAAAAATAAGTAGGGAACAAAATCAAGGGCTAAACTTATAATATTACCATTTGTAATTTGGTGGGAGCTTTAAAAACCAATCAAAAGCAGGAGACAACTCTCTCCCCCTTTTTGGGAAAAACCATAAAGAAAGAAATAGAAGCCCCACCCCCCATATTTTGGGCGATTTGACTAAATTGACACAATTTAACCGAAATTCTCCCTTTTTAATACCGTTTGACTAATATTTTTCGAAGTAGCTCCCTTTCGGTTGAGGTGGCACAAAGGCGCATCCCCAAGGACGCGTTTTACTTGGGTTTTACTGAGTCGAATGCTACGCTGGTATTTTTTTAATAAAGATTTAATTATTATTATTATTATAAATTATTAATATATTATGTAAAGTGTTTCGGTTATAATTTAAAAATTATCGAATGTATTCTTTAAATGTGTGTTAAAGGTGGAGTTAATTTAGGTTAAAGTGTTATATGTTTAAGGGACTTTGGCATTTTCCCATTCCACGCGACATTAATCGATGGAACAATAGATGAAAACCGGCTTTGATCTTATTGTAGTTATAGGAAAAATGTATGAAATTATAATATTATAGGTATGGTTATATCTATTAATTTTATCACTTAATTATTTAAATTTTATCAATCTAGTCATCTGTTGTCAATATTTAACGAAAATATTGATGCATAAGTTAATAAAATTAGTATAATTACACATTTAATCTTCAATACTTACATATTTTATCAATTTAGTCTTAATTTTAATTAAATTTAATCCTCCAATTAGAACATGAAATGTGTCATCGTATACATAATTTTTTTATAACTTTTAATTTGTTTAATTTAATATTTTTTCTCTAATTAGGTGAATTATTATAATATTTTAAAATTAATAATATTTTTATAATAAATAATATTAATTATTATATTAAATAAATATAATTAATCATTTTACAAAATTACCAAAAAAATAATTTATATAATATTAACCAAATATCATAAAATAATTTTTAAAGGATTAAATTTTAAAAAAATAAAATTTATTTAGGTGTACATACATTGGGAAATTATAGAAAATGCAATTACATTTAAATATTAGAAACAAAAACATTCAGTTAAATAGAATATTAATTACATAAGGGTTAACGATTATGTGATGATAACAGAGCTGGACATTTTTTTCTATTGTGCCCGATGTTTCTGCAATGCCCATATCTTTTTTGTTATGTTGACTTCTTCCGAATATCCATATCACAATGTATTCTA